TTTTAGTCTCTGTTTGCTTTTTGGCATCTTGATCTATGGGTTTTGGCTTAAGATGTATCAGATAAAAAGTTATCCACTTAGCTGTTTCCCTGAAGTCTCTTCATTTCTTTTTAAGTTTGCATTAGACTACAGTGTTAGGCATATACATATACATATACATATACATAGGCATATTGATTTTTCTTTTCCTATTTTTTCTTTTATCCTTTCCTGTTCTGGAATTGGTTTCCTATGCTGTTGATTAACCTTACCACAAACTGAGCTTTAAAAACACTCATTATCTCAGTTTCTGTGAGTCAGTCTTATTTAGGTCCTCTGAGCAGGGTCTTAGCAGACTGCAGTCAAGGTGTTTGCTAAGAGTGGGGTCTCATCTGAATCCTGGGTCGTTGGCAGAATTCATTTCCTTGTGGTTGTGGGACTGAGATCCTCAGCTCCTAGTGACCTCTTCCTTTCCCCACCATATGACCTTCTGCACAACATGAAGTTTGTTGCATCAAGGCCAATGGGCAAGTGTCTCTGCTGCTGCTCCTTGTCCCTTACTTCTAGATTGTACTTAAAAAACAAAAACAAAAGACAGTTTTATTGAGGTATGATTCACATACCATGCAATATACTCATCTAAAATATAAAATACAATGACTTTCACTATATTCACAGAGTTGTGCATCCATCGCCTCAATCAATCTTAAAACATTTTATTACCCTCAAAAGACACTCCACAGTCCTTAGCCATCACCCTCTAATCCATCTCTTCTTCCAAGCCTTACTTTCTGGGCCTATGGATTTGCCTAGCCTGGACATTTTATATAAATGGAATCATGCAGTATGTTGTCTGTTGTAACTTTGTTCTTTCACTTAGGATGTCTTCAGGATTCATCTACTTTGTAGCAGTTTTCAGGACTTCATTTCTTCTTCTTGTCAAAGAATTCCATTGTATTGATATACCACATTCTATTCATCCATTCATCAGTTGGTGGAGATTTGAGTTGTGTCCACATATTTGCTACTACTAATAATCCTTTTATACAAGTTTGTGTATAAGTGTTTGTGTGGTCATATATCTTGGGCATATCCCTTGGAGTGGAATTGAGGAATCTCATGCTAATTCTATATTTGTTTCCATAGCTGCTGCAACATTTTATGTTACCACCAGTAGTGTAGGTGTTTTCAATTTCTTCACATCCTCCTCAACACTTATTATTTGCCATTTTGATGACTGATATTGTGTTGTTGTTGTTGTAAGGTGCCATCAATTGGCTCCATCTCGTACCAAAGCCCAGTCCTGAGTCCTCAGGAGTTGCTGTAGACATACACCTTTAATACCCACTTCTGACACCAAGAAATGTCATAGAGCAACATCATAGAGTCTGCTTAAAGTAAAAGCAAAAGAAGCTTATTGAGTGATAGAGAAGGGAAGGTGACCAGATCCACAGAGTAAAGATGGCCACTCTGCTGGACAATGAGGAAGAAAACATTTTTGTACAGTTGCAGAAGGAACTAAAGGTTACAAAATCACATTTGCTGCAAGGCAATCATCCACTCAAAGATAGGATATCTTAAGAGTGACGACTTAGCAGGAATAGGAGGATAACATATATGTGGGATTACATGATGGTTTAAGGGTACATAATTCCAAGAGTACATGCTCTTCAGTTTATTACTGGATGGTCACAGGACAATGGCAGGACAGATTTTTCAGGAAACATGTGATAAAAATTGCTTTGTCAATCATGTCTATTTCTGAAGGCCCATTGTAAAGGTTTACTGATAATGTTGTACATCAAGATCTTCAGGTATAAGCTGTCACATTTTGCATCTGTTTGAATACAATAAAAGACCCTTTGGGAATAGATTGTTATATCCTGTACCTGACAGACATCAGAGAAAAAGAGTATCTTCTTTAGGGTTTATGGTTAAACCAACAACAAGGTTAGGTCAGCATCAAGTTTAGGTCAGCACAAAGGTTAGAAGAACTGCTGTTAGAAAACGTAGCTTTTAAAATTCAACATGGATTCCAGATTCATGTCAAGACTTTAAAATAGAATTAAGGTTCCACTTTCAGACTACTCTATTTACACACACCAAGTGCATCTGATTTTAAGCTCTTGTATAGTCCTCACAAGAAGGAGGAAGAAGAATCAGAGTTAGACGAGGAGATATGATGAGAGAAGCAAGGGTGTGTGTGTATGTATGTGTGTGAAAGAGAGAGGGAAAGAGGTTAATTTGAAGATACTATCTCTCTGGCTTTGGAGGAAGAGAACACAAGCCAAGGAACACAACCTGGAAAAGGAAAGAAATGGATTATCTCCTGGAGAATCCAGAAGAAATGCAGCCTGGTTAACACCTTGACTTTAGTGAAAGTCACTTTGGACTTCTGACCTCCAGAACCACAGTATAATAAATTTGTTGTGTTACACAACCAAGAGCATGGTAATTTGTTACAGCAGCAATAGAACACTAATACAGATGCACTATAGTTTTGGTAATCCAAGGTTGCCTTATAAGGGTTTAAAGGCAAATCTCTCACCAGAAACATTGCTTGGTAGAAAGGCAGCAAAAAAGTGATTAATAAGGATTCTGTGGTGCCTGAGGCCTTACATCCTGGGACTCATCACCTTCCACTTTCTTAAACTGACCCAGACTAGAGCCCTAATCCATGCCACAATTCCAGAGACAGTTGATTCAATACTAAGTGCTACATTGACATCTGGTAAAATGAAGGCAGCGTCATGTTCCTTTCCCTCTTGCTCCTGCAGATAAGGTACCCTAGCCACACAACTATCTTTATCATGGGGATGAGGCTGAGTGCCTACTTATCTTTGAGAAGCAGGCTTCAGTTCCCTGCCAGCCTGTAGAATTATTCAAACAAGCCAAGCACATTCTTCCATGGGAACCAGTGGGACCCTCACCCTCCTCTTACTACAAAGCTGTTTCCCACAGCCTGTGCTTGTTTCCTAGTGCAAACCCTGTATGAAGAGGTACAGGGCCTCTTTCCCTGGGTTGTGAGTATACGTGACTTATAAACTTCTATTAATCTTATCTGCCTAGTGTGGGCGTTGGGTGTTTGGTCATCTTAATAATCCTGAGGCAGGTGCACAGAGTTCTCTCTAGCAGACCCTGCTCACAGTTCCAATTGCATATCAGTCCAGGGAAATTAAGATCACTTACTTCTGATGCCAAATTGTGTGGTGGATAAGAAATCCTACTGCATATGCCAGCGACATCATTTGGAAATCTCAGTTTCTCTTCCCTGTTTGGTTCAGACCCCAGCTACTCCATGTAGCCTTCCTCTTTTCATCCCCTTCCACCTGGGGCTGGGTAGTAAGAACTGGCCTCAAGCTTGGGGTCTGCATGACTCCCTCCACTTCAAACTGGCTAGCTCTCCATGTTCCTTTGGGTCTGATAATTAATTCTCTGGGTTGGTGCACAGAGCTCATGGGAGACAGCATTCCTACAATAACATATTTATTATATAAAAAAAGGATACAAATGAAAAGGCCCATAGAGCGAATTCTGGCAAGAGTTCTAGCACAGAGCTTCCATGTCCCCAGGAGGATGCACTACCTGCCTGTGCAGATATTCACTCTCTTTAATCCATAAACTCCCTGAGGCATCATCTTTCAGTGTCTTTATTGTCCTCACTGTATGGCCACGATAAATTTCATTGTATCTCTTGTGGCTTAGTCAGTAGTGGGCCCCCAGGTGAGCCTCTGTCCTTGGGGCTCTCAGGAACCCAGAACAAAAGGCTAAATTTCTTTCTGCACTTCATTCACAGTGGGAATCCCTCCCTCACCAACAAGATGATGAGAAAGCAGACCAAATAGAGTTGAAATGAGACAAATCCATTAATAGGCAGATAGATTAAATACAATATGGTGTATTTGCACTCTGCAATGTTGTACAACCATTGTTCATGAGGTAGATTGATGCCCGTATGTTGTTTCCTGCTCATAGTCCTTTTTCATAGTCAAGAGCCTATCAAATCTCTGCAGTGCTCCCTCTCTGCCCTGGCAGGAACTTGCTGGTCATCAATCCTGGATTTTTATAGAGAAACTGAATATCTGAGATATGGAAATTGTGTTTTTCTTTCTCCCTCTAAGACCAAGACCAAAGCATCACAGCAGGTTGTGTGACCCATACCCTAGCAGTACTGTATCAAGGAGGTGCCATTGGTCCAAATGGTTAGAGCTCAGAGGCTAGGCATTTAGAGTTCTGAGGTCACAGTGCAGGTGGGCAGGAGCTTCCTTATGGGTTGTTCATTGCAAGGGAAGAAGCAGGAGGCATTCTGCATGCTGTTTTTACTCAAAGGCCATAGACCTGAAAAGGAGTGGTGCCTTCACTGGGGCAGGGTCACTGGTACTGGGATTATGTCACAAAGGGACTGTTGTGTGACTTCCCAGCAGGGACTGGATTCAAGAGAAGATATATCAGAAATCAGGGCTCAGTCAGATCATTGACCAGGGCATAGGCATGAACTGAGAGTACTGGAGACACAGATAAAAGAAGGGATGTGTCAGTGGATTAGGGTCTAAGTACACAGAAAGGAAGAAAGGTCTCCACAGGGTAAAACAGGCTGGAAGAAGCCCTAGAGCTAAGAGAGCTGGGGGGCACTAGGTATTGAGATGAAGCTCTCTCCCATTTCTTATAGGACTGAGACTCATAACAACAGTGGGCGGTGATGCACATAAGTGTCTATGTAGTTACATCTGGGTCCAAGACAAGAGGAAATTTCTCTAGAAATACAATCCATACCCAGGATTAGAAAGGGTCAGAGGGCCGTATCAGAGAGACTCCTTACCCAGCTTCTTGTGGGTAGTCTCCTTGGAGAAGAAGAGGGAAGAACCCTAAGGGTGACCCTAGTGGCTTTGCCTTAAATGCACCTGAGCTAGTGCTAAGAGCGGTACCTGCAGTGAGATCTCTGAACATATATAGATAGCAGCAGCCACCTTACCCTGAAAAGACAAGGAGGAAGCACACCTGTGACCCCTGATTGAAGGAACATGACCAGAACTGGGTGGCCCTCTCTGCTCCTGCTGACTATTATGGTGGCCTTGGTGGCCACCACAGATCCAGCCAAGAATCAGGAGAAGGTGTTGAGGAAATTAAATTCCATCAGTTCCTCAAATGCCAATGTGAAACAATGTATGTGGTTTGCCATGCAAGAATACAACAAAGAAAGCGATGACAAGTACGTCTTCCAGGTGGTCAAGATACTGCAAGCCCAGCTGCAGGTAAAGATGTTCTCTTTAAATACAGGGACGTTTACACACGGTGCCACAGCTTGAAGCCAGACTGAAAGAACAGGCATACAAGAAAAAGATTGATATACAAAAATCCTAAACATACAAATGCTCAACAGACACACTTGCATAATAACAGTAACAGCAGTGCACACATATAGCACTTCACTCACATACTTGGCTATTGTCCTAAGTACTTGGCGTATATTAACTCATTTAATCTCCAAACAGCAAATTAAATGTTCATGATTTGCATTTGCTACGTTTGAGAGACAAGTTAAATACTATGAATATTTTTCATATTTTCATGAATATATTTAATATTTCATCATGGGAAAATTTAAACTTATCCATATAACATGGAAAACAGGATAGAAGAAAGACATGGTACTACCTAATGTGTTGGTGAAGAAAGTGCCCTCTCCTATATTCTTTAATTCTTCCAATGTAGCTTTTATTTGGTGATTTCCTATTTGTTAAAATGTATCCCTATTCACAGGGCTAGAAACCGCATAACTCTAGGAAGCATTGCTTTCATGGGTTACAATGACCCTGCCAATTATGTTCAATAAAAGGGCTCAGTATTAGCATTTCAGCTGACTGTAATTACAAGCTTCAGTCAGTGTTTGGTGACAGGACTTGTAATTAAATCATGAAACTTGTAGGATGGAGTGAGCTTATTTAAATTTTATGCTGTCAGTCTGGCCCCATTAGCAGGAGTTGGGCCAATTTACGTGCTTTACCTTATGTTCCCAGGGCCTTGGGAAAACCTGAGCCATCAGCACTGTATTTCCAATGTGTTATGTTGCTCCTGATAGTTTTGTTGCTTTTGATTGGACCTAGTAGCTACACTCCACAATCCATCTCTGAATGCAAAATTTTGTGGCCCTTTGAAACAAAGGAGCAAATCTGGGCCAGCAAAATAAAGAACAGAATAGTAAACAGTTTCTTAGGTCTTGTAACTTTCCTAGTTTCTTCACAGTTCTCTTTCTTTGGTGCCCAAGTAGCATGTATCTTCAAAAAGCTTCTCATTAGCCACTTCCTAGAGAGTTACATTTGCTGCTGTGTGTGAGATGACTAGGTAGACAGAAGTGATCAAGCAGCATAACTGAAAAGAAAAATCTTTAAGGCAGGAATGAGGGATTCAATGTCTGTCCTAGTATCATGGTACCTGGGGCCTTGGGGTGTCAGAATACATCCCCCCTAGATAGTAGTTCTCCTGTGGGGTGCTTTTAAATGTTCCACTGTATAGGCTGCACTCTTACCCATTAACTCAGGATCTCTGGGCTGGGCCCCAGGCCTTGAATGGTTTGAGAACTCACCAGGGGATTCACCATTTTAGAGAGTAATGCTGAAGATGAAAACTGAAGACAGTAAGAGTTAAACAGGTGAAGGAGGTTGGTGGCAAATGTTTCAGTTGCATTTCCCCAGATGCAGGCCCTAATGTTAGAATTCAAGTGGAAGTTGTTTATTTGGAAAACCATCCCAAGAAACACTAGGAAGGCACAGGAGAATTAAGACAAGGTGGAGAACAGCCAATCCAGGGTGAGTTAATGAGCAGGTTATCATAGACAATTGGGGCTCAGGCTTACTTAGTATAGCACTTGCTTCAGAGATGGCCCAACCTCCAAGTGAGGTAGCTGAGGCATTTATCTCTCTACTCCTATCTGTTATTGGCTAAGAGCTGATCCAAGAGGACTTCTCTCTTGATGGTGGCAAGGAGCCCTTGGACAGGAGCCACAGGAACTTGCAGTATATATGGAAATAGGAAGGGGCACTCATAGCATCTGCTACAGGAGGGGAGCAGAGAGGCCTTGGGGCTGGTGGGATGGGAATGAGCAGTCAAGGATAGGAGGATGGCCTATTTTAACAATTTCAAGAAGCTAGTGTGGCCACCAGTTGTGCAAGCAGGCAGGAAACAGGCCATCTGGGCTTATAGTCCCTGGGCAAGATTTCTACTTTATTTTAGGAGTACTGAAAAACCAGAATCAACTCAGGGACTTTTTAGGATTCATGTGATCATATTTGGGTTTTAAAATTTACTACTCTGCTTAATGCAAAGACCTGGAGTTGTGAGGATTCAATGGGAATGTCTTAGGTCTAAGGCTCCTGCTTCCTGCTGTCAGGTTCATATTCTTGTAGCTAGCACACAACAGTATCTGTTACAGCCCCTTGGTTGGACAGAGCAGAGCAGAAGTTGAGAGGCAGCTAGATAGCAATTTGGGTGCAGGCTTTAGTGCTGGATACTGTGATCTGAACCCTGAGACTACCACTTGCTAGAGAGTGGCCTTAGCAAATTATCCAGTCCCTCTGTGCCTCAGTTTTCTCACCAGTAAATCATGGGAATGACAATCACGCCCCAGAGAATTGGTATGAGGATTGAGTTTCAGCACAAAGCATTAGAATGGTCCCTAGCAGAGAGCGAGCACTCAGTGAGGGAGCAGTTATCAACTTTAATGATAACTCCTGTTTCTTATCAGATTCACCTCCACACTACTTACAATGCTCCCCCAAAAGTAAAAACCTAACCTCCAAGCTGAACAAGACTATGTAATTTCTTAAAGTCTTCTATCAGCTTCTACCCGCAAACAGGCCAGAGCCACCTTTGTTAATTCCTTGGAGCATAGCTAAAATTTAATACCAGTTTATTGAAGACTAGAAGATAGCAATGAGGAGAGGACTGAAAGAAAAATGTGACTCTAGGTGGACATGGACACATCTAAAGCACACCCCCCTTCCACTCATAGAGACAGTAGCTTATCATCAACCAAGTCATCTCCATCCAGCTTCCCCACAAACAAGGTTTGTGGCCCAGAACTCATTTAAATTTGAATACTGATTAAAGCAAACAAAATTGTGAAGATAGAGTTGTGACCAAAATTTAGAAAAAAGTTTTTTTGCTTTCA